TTTTTTTTCATTAATATGTGTTTTTGGAGTTAGTTTTGAGTTTATGCCAATTATTTGTCATTATTTTATGTTATTGTTTTGTTATTTGACAATATATATTTTTTTTTTTTGTAGGGAATTGTTGAGGCTTTGATGGCTAAAGTTGAGGATTTGATATAAGAGGCTTGTAGATTTTATTATTGTACTTTGTTAATTTAAGTGTACATTTTGAATATTATGTATATTGGATAATTTGACCACTATTTTTCTTATGTAATTTTATTTTGAATATGTCAATTTAAATTAAAGTAATTAAGAAAAATAAAATCATACAATTAAATTAAATTTAAAAAAATTAATATAATGAAATTGATATAAGAGAAATAAAAAATAATAATTTCAAAAACCTTGCGCGACAAAATATTTCGTCGCGCAAACTATTTAATTAGTTTATTTTAGTTTAAAATTTTCAAAAAACAAAAATTTTAAAAAATGAATATTTCGTCGCGCAAACCTTTGAGTGACGTTCACATTCGTCGCTCAAAGTACACTTGCGCGACATTAACTTTCGTCGCGCAAAGTTGTTATTGTCCGTCGCGCAAAGTTTTCAAGATTCGTCGCGCGAAGTAATTAATATTCGTCGCGCAAAGTTGTTATTTTCGTCACGCAAAGTCGTCATGATTCGTCGCGCAAGTTGTTATCCTTCGTCGCACAAAATGGCTTTGTGCGACGAATAATTTTGGCCGTCGCGCAAACCCTTTCTCCACGAGTTTTGCGCGACCAAATTTTCATCGCGCAAACTTTGTGCGACGAAATTTCCTTTGCGCGACCAATAATCATTCGTCGCGCAAAGTGGTTTTTGTAGTAGTGCCAGCTTACATATGAGAGGAAGAAACAATTGAACAAGCTGAGGGTGAAGGCAAAAAAGGTTGCCGAGGAGAAACACAACCACGATGCATTGGGTCCTCAGCTAGTATTTGCCTTTTAAATATTGCTCCTTTTAAATATTGATCAGTAGAGATTTGCCTTTTAAGACAAAAATGTTGTTGAGGATTGACCTGAGAATTAAATTTTGTTTTGTGTTAAGATACTTGGTTGTTCCTTGTGATGGTTTTAAGTATTTGGGCAGTAGTTCTTTCTGATAGATATTAAGAAAGATATTACCAAAATAAATAAATTAATTAATTTTAAAAAACAATAAAAATAAGACGGCAGTTTACAGAGAAGGCAGACGTATAAATAGAAAAAATACGACAGTAGTGTTGTAGGTACCGACGTAGTACACTCCAAAATAATAAGTCGATAAATTAATCTCTCGCGTCATGGTACATTGATTTAACACGTCGTTGTTTTGTAATATACTGACGTGGATTCCATTATATTATACGACGCGGACTAAGAACAGTTGGTCGTGTTTAGTTAGGAGTTAACACGGCAAGTTTTTTGGTGAACTGTCGTCTTTATTTTCTACGTTGGTGGATTCATACCTGTTGTCGTTGTTTTTTGGTCAGATTTTAACTCTGAAGAAAACCTTTTTAATAAGACGACGCTTTTTTATTTGTGTGCGTCGTTTAAAAAAAATATTCAACAGTACCTCCATTTTTTAGTTGTTTAAGTCACTTATCCACAACGGTTTTTTGTTACCGTCGTCTTTTTAAACACAACGACGGTTTTTTGTTCTACCATCGTCTTTTTCTAGTCGTCTTTTTCACTTTTTGCAGTAGTGTCAGACTATAAAATTCAAATCATCATAATTAAAATCACATAAACTAAACTAAAGTGGAAACAAACTATAGGACCAAAGACAAAAGTTTCTCTCAACCCTCTTCTTAAGTTGAAATTAATCTCGTATATACTCATTAGTAATGTTATTTGAACACACCTATTCTCATTCTCTTTGAAAAAACAAAAATAAAAATAACAAATATTATCAACCGATTGACCATTGATTTTCTTTTTTCAAAAGAATTTTTTTTTTCACAATGTTTTTCAAAAGAATCTTGACGGCACTAATACTGCTGATGGATACAACGCAAAGTAGAAATTCAACTTCATCTATCCATGCACTAAACTTGGTGGTTGCATGCGTTATTAATTTAATTAATGAAAGTGGTATGAGAATCCCATCCCCACCCACAAAGGTTTATTTATTTTATTACTTTGAGAATCTCACCCCTATAAATATAGAATATATTGTTGCTACTTTGTTTACTATATTATTGTTACTGTCCTTTTATTAAAATATTTTATTGCTACTTTACTTTCACGTAGCTGTTTTATAATTCATAATGATATGCTGCCTACCTTTGAGTATTTAATATTCTTGTTTAACTATAGTTCAAGAAAGAAAGGTAGTCTAAGTAAGATAGATTCTTGTTTATGTGTGACAGGGCTCCAATTTTTGTATGGCATTATTTTTATAAAGTTGAAATTAAAGTTTATGATACTTCCTCTCGCTCAATTACCTCATTTTCGAATTTCATGATCATTTCAAAAATCACTTCACCTTTAACAACACAATGACCCACATTTAAAAAATTATTCATTTGTTTTGGAACAACAAACCTCTAATTAATCCAACACTTTCCTTCAATAAAATGTTTAATTATTCTAGTTGATGACTTATTTTGTCTGTTTTAGTTCAATGGAACTTACCATATTTAAGCCAAAATGAAAGTACATGTGCATAAGTTTTTTTTTTAAAAAATTTCTAACCCTGGACCACTGAAAAGTCGGAACTGGCCCTTCCCTCACTGCAAAGAGTTTCTAACTTGTCGTTGTGCAAAGATAACTTTCATGTGTCGAAAATGGAATGACATAAAGTAGCTATCATTACCATTAGAGCCCCTTTACTAATTGTCAGTCTATGATTGTTCCCGTGAAAAAAATGGCAATCAGAACACACACAATTAAAACATGATATCTGTGTTTATTCAGTGATGCATAAACGATGGAGTGTCAATTTGATGAGCGTTTCTATAGAAATTAATCTTGGGACCATTTTTATATGTGAATGAGTTGGAACAATTATGATACGATTGTAGGCTGCATGTAAATTGATGTGGAAAGTTTTGAAATATCTACATACTGAGTCCAATAACTATCTATAGCTACTTTCGAAACCATTAGCTCTTAGATGCCACATGTGATCTACTTAATCCATCTCTCTCATCACCCCATATGTGAAAGGGAACTACATGGACAATGGAGGAAATTTGGAAAACTAGTCCTTTCTTAATGTATGAAAGATTTAATTTTTTTTATAAAGAATTTTAGAAATATCTATATAACGGGGATAACACTGTTTTGCTATTCCAATCAATCACGTCCTATCACACGTGATAAGGATTTCACGTGACTGAAAGTAATTGGATGGGGATAGAAAAACAGTGCTATCCCCGTGACATGCCAGTTCTTCTCCAACTCAAGACCTCCTCGATGCCCATCGAACCCTTTGAGCGGTTCATATTCTAAAAGTCTAAAAATCTAGGTCAAAAGTCTTTAATATGACGAAAATTTGGTTTCAAAGTTTCTCAACAACAATGGGATTATTGGACCACTTGAAGGCTACTCAATAACATTCAACATTTAACATTTAACATTCATGAATGTTGTTGATTATTGTTGGATTTAGCATGTGATGTTATAAATTTATAACATTGCGAATAGGACTGACGACTTATAATTTATCAGTACTGGGAATGCGACACACACATGATAATGAAATTGGAGGGAAACTTAAAAAACAAGTCATTTATTGCAACGACTATAAAGATTTACCTGCAAGCGCAGTTAACCCAATTTCTCAGTTGAATTTACTTTATAATAGTGAATAAATTGAAGGTGTATTAAATGCTGGTTAGGTATTTAGGGCTTCAAATTTGTTATGGACTCTAGATTGATTTGATTTAGATGACTAGCTAGAACTATTGTTTGATTGAATTTGATTTAGGATCACCCAAGGGGTAGTTTTCTTTTGGTGACATCAAAGGGGAGTTTTTTCTTTTTTAAGGGACATGTCCAAGGGGACTTATCGAACACTCTGAGTGTCGTGTAATACATAAATAGAAGGACATAATGTGGAGAATTTTACAGAGGAGTTGTAGTTCAAATATTTATTATCAAACCTGATACTTTTTATCCAAATCCTCTCCCTTAATATCGCTTGTATGAACCAGTGAAGTTACACCGTAAATGTATTGCACTCACCGTCAACATTGGAGCTGAACCGTTCACGTATCTTGAACAAAGTTAGAGAGTGATAATAATTGAGCAGTCTATATTTTATTGTGTTTATCTCTCTACTTTTACTTTAGTCTTATACAATAGTCGTTTTGTTTGTTTTAAATTTGGATCATATCTCGATTTATGTGTGTCATCAATGCGCAGGGCCATGCTATATATAATCTACTCTGTATTTTTTGTATTTTTTCAGATGTCCGGAAGAGACTAGTCTTACAAGTTATAACATAAATAGCAGTAATATTTTAGAAAACACAACCACCATAATCCCCATTAGTTAACTGGGATTGGCAACCATACGACATCTACAAGAGCTGGATTGCATCTTAATTTAAGAAGTGAACTAAACTATATTATATATGTTAAACAAACAAGGTTGGTTCAGCGATGGTGGCCTCTGCCTCTTTCAGGTGCGCACGTTCCTTTTCAGGTTGAACTGGAACTGATAAGCAAGTACCATTTTCCATGCTCTTCTGCTCTTTGCTTTTTCCCCACAAAACACTGTAAAGGCTCGCAGCCAACAGGATTCCACCTAAAACACTGCAAAAAGGAGAGCCACATGAAATGATTAGGACAATCGATCTACCCATCATCATCCGAATGCAAACAAAACGTCTACGTTGAATAATTATTCACTTTATAAAGTGACGTTATTTTCCAAAGAATATGAACTTCTTTTCTTTTCTTTTTCGTTAACTAAAATAATTTTAAAAAATAGATGGTTTGGATTGTTGAAAATAAATTTGTAGGCGACCCTAAAGGGTGTCCCTCAAATAAAATTATTTGAGAGATCCCTCAATAGAAGGGGACCGTATATATATAATTTGGGAAATTAATAAAATACTAGCCT